TACCTAAACCCTAAACCGCGTGAATTCCTGGGTTTTGGAGACGCTAAGTCCTAAAATCCGAAAACAATAACGTGAAAAGCTCCTTACATTTGGGGCTTTGGGTTTAGGATTTAGGGTTTAGGGCTTAAGCCCTACAACCCCCTAACCTCCCCCCAAATCCTGAGAGTCCTAAATCTTAAACCCCTGAACCATAAACCCGATATAGGATCCCATTGGTTGGGGTCCCTATAGGGGCATCCTAGACCCTAAAATCCTAAAACCCTAAGCCCTAAAACCTTGAACCTTAAAGCCCTGAAACCCCAAAACCCTGAAACCCTAAAGCCCTGAAACCCTAAAACCCTAAACCTTAAAACCCCTAAACCCGCAAACCCTCAAACCCTAAACCCTAATCCGAAGGCTTCGACCTCCTCATCTCTATGAGCGCCGGAATCGTATCCAAGCCCTGTGCACGCTACGTCAAGCGCGGAGGTAGGGTTATGGGTCTAGGGGTTAAGGCTCTAGGGGTATAGGGTTCAGGGTTTAGGGGTTGGGACTTAGGGTTTAGGGGTTTCAGGGGTTTAGGATTTAGGGGCCTCGGGTTCAGGATTCAGGGTTTCCAGGCACCTCCTAGCACCCTAAGGGCTTACTGAATGTACAAATGGACCATATGCTGGTCCTAGGTTACACTGCCCTTGATTGGGGGTATATGATCCTCAAGAGCGGGTACTCAAACTCTTTCAGAGGATACATTGCTGGAGGGTCTGAACAGGGCTTCAAGTGTGCCATATTTGGGGCAGAGGGCGGTGCCGGGGGGTTTTCGGGTTAGGTCCTTGAAAACAAAAGGCTTATTGGATCTATCGCTTAGGGAGCAGCCTGGAACCATAGCTTTGAACCCAAATCCCCAAGACCGTATAACCCAAGAGCTTGACTTTAACACCCTTTTGCGAGGTTTGCGATACAATTCCGATCTCGCCCTGCTGAGAATAGCTCTTGTCGCCTCTAGATATCGTGGTATATCATCGTATATAATAGTATATTATGAATAAATACCGCTCTTCACTGAGAGCCCGCCTGCCTGGATGAGGGTTTACAGTTTAGGGAGGCTACTTCCTGGCATCCGACGCGCATTTCGACGCGCGGACGACTGCTCTCGACCCGCGTTTTCAACTCGTGGCGGAAGCTCGGCTGGGGCTAATTATGCCAGTAATCCCATACTTCTTTTCGGGACCCCTATAGTATGAACGGGCTTTCGCAAGTCTTCTAGCCAAACACCGGTAGAGCTCCTAATCGACCAAAATAGATAGCATGTACACAATTTAGGCCGCAATGCAAGTATTATCTGTAGATGTAGAGTCCCAAGTAAGGAGGCCGGCTGGAGCTTGTTTAGGCTAGGGTGTTAATCTGGTTTACCTCTGGGAACCAAACTACCCTCGAAAGGATTGTGCAATAGTTTTGAAAGGTACCCAGCTATTTGGAAGATTGCAACCTGCAACCTCACATATATCGAAAAGCGTTGTCGTGACAGCGTTTTCATGTTTGATTGAACCAATGTTTCGTAGTTTAGATGCCATGCATTGTGTAGACTTGAAGGGGCTCGATCAGGAAGTAGGCCGAACATCATTGCAAAAACACCTCAGCCGGGGATAGAAGCGCAACAAGAAAACATGTGAAGCCTGCTGGTGGTCTGCATTTTGGAGCGGAGAAGGCGCTGTGACGGGTGTAGTCCTTTACATATGTGTTCGGACATGTAGTACATCCCGAGCTCTTTGCATCCAATTCTACATCTCCATCGATGGCAGGATGCAACAAGCAAAGCGATTGCAAAAATGCACAGGGCATTCAAAACAAACATAACAAGCAGTTCAAGCAAGAACGGAACGCCTGTGGATTATTGTCATACCCATCGTTGCCGGGGATGCATCTGCAGAGGGAACGGTCCCCTTTTGCAGACACAGGAGTCAACCAAGCTAATTCCAAAGGTATCCATATTAATTACGCTTGGCCTGGTCCCAAGTCCAAAATAAGGCAGCAAAGCATTCGAGCTACCACTAGGCCACAACCTGAAATCCTTTGGCTTTAACGACAATTACACTAAGTCCGAAACTGTTGCCATTAATTACCGGACAGTTGCTGGTGTGTTTGCTATTTCATGAATACAGGAAGTGGTATGATTGCGTAGTCATTGTGTATATACCGGCCTACATCCAAACCGGAGGCCGTCCCACTGGTGCTTAAGGGAGAGTGGGGGAGTGGATCCCTATAAGAATCCATATGCAATCCCCGTGTATACCCCTATAATGGTATTTCATTTATTCCCCCACTCCCCCGTAAGCACCAGTAGGCCAGTGTCTTCAAGTTCTTCTCAGCCCAGGTGTACGACCCTGACGCGAAGAGGCGGCACATTGTACGGCTTGGGGTGGGCCATGTAATTTGTAACCAATTCCATACTGGACCCCACGAGTGTGTAGAATGATAGTCTTCTTGGCAATTTCATGGGTTTTTTGGCCAAGAGAGCCTCCGCTTGCATGCTTTTTGCACCGGATTCCCCCCTGAACCCTACACCCTAACCCAACAACGTGAACTCTCAAAAGTTGTTGGCCGTAAAACAGTCCAACGTTTCCGTGTCCGGCAGTTTCCTAGGGATTCCGGATAGCCTTTAACTCGTGCTAGACATCCTGATGTGATTCAGGGTCTATCCCTTCATTTAATGGGTATTGCGCTCTATAGATAGCTGCGCCGTTCAACACCTCCAAGTTCGCATGGTGCAGTCCACGGACCTTACTATAGCCCCAAGACCCAGGTATGTTTGGCAAAGGATACTGCTCGGGGGGGCAAACGCAGGTCTAGGGTTTAGGGTGTCTTTTTCCTGGCGGATCTTCTGAACCGTGGAACTTTACTGTTATCACTCACTTCCTCTTTGTTGGAGACCTAATGCTGAGCTTTATGAGGGTTTCGCATGACATGATGGAGCCTCAGATATCTTAGCAATGCATTCCATGATGCTTGCCACCCAGTCCATTTCTGTAGCTGTTGCACCGGAAGCCTGAACCTTAAATCCTAAACCCCAAACCCTCAAACCCCGGAGCCTTCAAGCCCAGAAAGCCCAAGTCTTGTAATGACTTACTGGAGCTTAAGGGAAGCGGGGGGGAATATAGGTACCATTGTAGGGTTTAGGGTTTGGGATGGGGGAATGAATACAGGTACCGTTATAGGGGTATATATGCAGACTATATAGGCAGTAGAGATCCATTCCCCCACTCTCCCTTAAGCACCAGTAAGAGTACCAGGCCCCTGAACCCACATCTCATAAACAACGGATCTTTTTGACCCCTCCTAGCCTTCATGCTAGTTTTGAACATACTCCATACAATACTAGGGTTTAGGGTTTAGGGTTAGTTTCTAGGGTCCTTTGTATGGTTTAGGTTCCAACTCAGGGCTTTACTGTGATAATCGGCTGAACACTAAACCCTAGGCCCCTACACTCCAAACTGACCCTCGACCCTCAAACCCCCTAAATCCCACATCGTGTGAAGCAGAGGCTTGAAACGAAGCGTTTGGAGGACTGTTTCATGACCACTTCGGGTGCGAAGATTTCCGCCGACCAGGCTCCTGGGGTTGTATAGGGTTCAGTCTACCCTATCCATATGAGGCAGGTTTTAGTGCTGAGGGAATAGGGCCTGCGGCTTAGGCTTCCGGTGAGCTTCGCATGCAGGCTTTCAGAGTGTGGATTTTCAGGTTCGCGATTTGGGTTGTCGACTTCAAGGCCCCGCAGTACTTAAGCCAGGAAGCCTTGAGCCGGACATCCCTGTCTTAACCTCGGCATGTGTGTAGCCCAAGATTCCCTCTAGGTCATAAAACATCTGGATATCCTTTTGTCTGAGAAAGCTTTGGTAAAGAACATCTAGGAACTTGCAACTGATGATTTAAATTCCATCCCCGCAAGGCGCCAATTCTGGGGTCTGTGGCAATCGAGGATTCTGCCGGGGTTCCTTCATTAAGGCCCGGCACCCACAGACGATACTCTGAATCCTGAACCGCACTTGTCCAGGCATGCTCCCAACACTTTGCAAGCTAACCTTTATACCTCGACCCCAAGAACTTTGTCTAGCTCAAGGCTCCGGTAAGCCTTCAAATCCAACCTGCCTAAACCATTCGAACTCTCAACACCTAATTCTCAACCCTAACCTCTAATCCCCCAACTCTAAACCCTAAACCCCTAAACCCTTATATGAGCTGTAGTCTAAACTCCTTAAAAGGGGGTTATATGGGGATTAAATAGGGGACTACTATAGGGTTATTAAGGGGCATACTAGGAGTTTAGACTATAGCTCATATAGCCCTGAATCCTTGACCCTAGACAAGGTCAAGGTCAGCATGACAAAGCCGAAAGGGAGTCGTGGCTTCAAGCTGACGCATGGTCTGTTTCTTACTCCCGAAGAGCCCATGTAGGTATATGATATATACTTAGGGCCCAAAGGGTTTCCCATATACCTACTTTAGGGCCAAAGTATATACTACTTACCTACATGGACCCTTTGGGACTTGGGGTTTAGGGTTTACGGTCTAGGGTTAGTGTTTGGGGTATAGCGAGTTAAGGTTTAGGCGTTTAGGGTTCAGGGGTTCAGGGGTTCAGGGTTTAGGGGGACCTAGGGAGAAGCAAAGGAAGTGCAAACTGCTGTGCAAGATTCAGGGTTTTACAGTTCAGGGTGCTTAAGCGGGAGGGATTGAGGGAATCCTGGTTCCTTGTATGGGGTGATATAGTGGATTGAAGTCATCCACCCCCCTGAAGCAGCACCGTAAGCTGTTGGAAGCATGTTTGACAATTGTTGGGACATGTTCAAGCTAGCTATCCCATTTGTGACTGTGAGGAGTACTAGAATACAACCTCCCATTCAGATGGTCGCATTGTGTCTAGTACGGCCAAAAGTCTGATCCAGGAAACGTGAGGATTGGTTCTACCTCTTCAAGCGAATCCGCTGAGGGTCGAGTGCCTTGGTGCCTTTGCTCTACATCGGAGGGTTCCCCGAAATTCTCGATCACGTCTAAGCGGCGCCACGCGTGAGTTATATACTTGGAGTTCAAGGTGTAGGTTTTCCTCTATCGGGCACGTGTTTGTGTCATCGTTGTGACACGCAGTCATGTTGAATCATCGGCTTCCTTCTCACCGAGAAACCTATGATGATTTGTGATACCACAATTCTGAGTCTAAGTACAATCAGTATCTGTATATATATATATACACACACACGCACACACTCGAATCCCTAAGCCTAGCCCCTAGACCTTAACCTTTAGCCCTCCCCCAAGTAACCATCCAAACCCCTATACTCCGATACGATCCCCGAGCTACTTCCGCTAGCACTGCCAGTATAAACCCCCGCAACGCACCGGTACAACCCTAAAACCTAAACCTCTGCAATCCCTCCCCAACTCCCTCTGAAAGCGCCGGCCTGATTTGTCAGGTATTCTTTGGCTTGTGGGTAATGTAGACCCCTGATTAATAAACCCTCTCTCCTTAATAGGGAGTATATTAAGGCCCTTAAAAGGAGGGTGTTTATGAATCACAGGCCTACATTAGCTTGACACAAGCTGAGGGTCTAGGGTTAGGACTCAGTGTTTAGTGTTTAGTCCTCAGTGCTTAGGGTGTAGGCTTCAGGCATATGCATCTCTAACCTTGCATTCTCACTGCTTCAGGAATCGTGCTGCTGTGTGCGACTGCCTACATATGATCCCTGCATGTAGTACGCAGCATGCCCAGTAACCAGAAGCAGTTCTCACGGGTCCAGACGTCCAAAACCAAAGCCTTACTGCAAAGTCTACAATTCATGGAGGAAATCCACCACTACCTGACGTACCCCCGCATTTTCGATATTAGAGTAGTTGAGGGGCTCTTGGTGGTGCAAGACTTCCTCTCTGAGCAGTATATATCCAGAAAGCCCGGCACTCCATACTTAGGGAATGTACCCTACATGATATTAGGATGATTTAAGGTATATTCCTTAATGAAGGGATATTGGGCTTTCTGGGTATCTCGTATGCATCCCTGTAAGGCCTCGTGGAAGCATGTACGCGGCCAAACCTGACTGGACGAAAAGCTGGCGTTGCATGCTCATGGCCCCAAGCTAACATGGAACTCCATGATGCCACACTTATGCCGACATTAAGGTTCAGGGTTCGTAGGGTTAGTAAGGAATGAGGGAATATGATTTGTATATAAGCCCCATCATAATACTAACACCCAGCAAGAGAAGGACTGCAGTATCAGTACCCTACGAGGGGTTCCTGTTTAGTTTGGGGCAGGGTAGTTTTCAGGGATTGCTTGGAGGTGACCCTCGGGCTCGAGATAGGCGCATGTGAGCTGTAGTCTAAACTTCTTAAGCGGCATTATACACGGGATTATATCGGAAATAAATATAGGGGTTATTCAGGGGAATACTATAGGAGTTTAGACTATGGCTCTTGTTGGTATCAGCTATAGACTGTAGGCCTCTATAGACTTCAGCGCCCAAAGTAGGTACTATTGATAGACTTCACGGCAGAACGTAGGCAATATTCACAGACGTCAGGACCCAACGTAGATCATATTCGTAGACTTAGATCCCTGTGTGAGGGTCAGCTAAACAAACCTAAGAATTGCATCTATAGCCCAGGGTGATTTGAATTTCTTTCAAGCACAGCTTTGTTTGTCTACTAAAGTCTGAGAGGTGGCTTGAAACTTGAAAAGCTAAACCTGGTTAGGTTTTGGGGGTCTAAAGTCCAAGGTTTTAGGTTGTAGCGTTTAGGAGGGTATCCCTCAGGCCACCCCTGCCAACGTCCCCAAGATCTAATTCAACTTCAGATGTGTTAGGCTGTTGGTTTTCTTCGCAAGACTAAGAGCCCTGTCTTATAACCTTGTACTGGGTGTTGTTGGGAAGGGTGACTGATTCTCGTCAGGCCCATGTAGCACGGCTGTACAAGATGCAAGAGAGACAGGTTTCAGGGTTTTAGGGTTTGGGGTTCAGGGTTTCCGGGGTTTGGATTTGGGGTTTCGGTTTGAGGGTTTAGGGTTTAGGGTTTCTTACTGGTTCTAAGAACCAGTTAGCCATTCCATGTTTGCTGCTTTGCTGTCTGCTTTGGCGCGCTAGGCGAAAATCGCTCATGTCCGGAGCCTGTCGGCGGTACTTCCCTTCCAAACGACCGCTTACTCATGACATGGACTATAGCCTAAACTCCTTAAAGGGGGTTAAAAAAGGGGATTATATAGGGGAGTATTACAGGGCTAATTAAGGGAAGCTTGAAGCTAAACTGTGACTACATATAACTGGACTGAGAGTGATAAGCAGGCTAGCTAGAATATTCACTGGTTCAGTGTTACATTGGCCCGTAATAAGGTGTTCACTGTAGTAGCAACTACGGAGCGAAGTCCACAGCCCCAAAGCCGGGGCAGAAGATGGTCAGAGCCGTTAAGTCAAAGCTGGTTGGTAGGGAAAGAAGGAATGGACAAGAAAAAGGAGACTACCTTATGATGAGGGATTGTCTAGAGACTCCGATAAGGATCCATTCTTTCATTCCTTGCTAACCAGACGTAGGTTACAGTACATATGACATGTTGTTCAATGTGTTTCGGCAAGTGCGTATGGGCTTCCTTGGGTGTCTAAGTGAGGGTGGATATCAGCGGTCCATGTTCATAATTCTACCTTATGGCTTGGGCTGCAGCACATGCGTAATTCATGGCACATACCTCCAGATCTTGATGACAAATCTGAATCTCAGACCGTGAACCCAAAGCCCTGAACACCAAACCCTGAACCCTAAATAGTAGTTTCCATTTTCTTTTCCACTATCCCAGTATAATCCCGAGACCTTTCCTGCTTGAAGGATTTGCCATCTGTCGGATCTGGAGAAATCCGCCAAGCCCCCAGACACTGATGGACGGGGTGTAGGGTTTGGGGTTTAGGGTTTAGGGTCCCCCGCCGTTTTACTGTGAGGCTCTGTGAGGATTTGATGCGTAAGGTTTGTGCAATCTGCGGTCTGGCGAACTTGAATCCCCATAAACCGTGTTCTGGCGAGCTAAACCCAAAGGGTCCACGTAGGTATATAGTACATACTTAGGGCCCAAAGGGCAGCCCATACACCTATTTTATGGCCCAAGTGTATCCTACATACCTACATGGACCCCTTGGTGCAGATTCAGGAATGAGAAGTTACTTGTTGTGAGCAGGAGCTTGTGACAGCGGAGCCATGGTCTGCGCCAGGGCTTTCGGTAGTGATCTGAATGTGGGGGTTTCCCAAGATTAATTGCACCTTTTTGGGGATCCCTATCAGAGGGATTATAGTATTTTGCGGCGTATATGGGGCCCCCTTACATTGAGAAATCACCATGTAGAAACAGTACCGGGAACATTGTTGAGGGTGTTTGTTTCTTCTCTGTTTGGTGAGAGCATATGTGCCAGATCTTGTCCATTCGCCTCTCCGAACATGTCATCGTGCGTTCTATACCCTAAGCCCTCAACCGCACATCGTAGGATCACCCAGCACAAGGTATCTAATGAGCAGTGAGTCTACAGGACGTCTCTGTTGGCACCCCGCTATGTTTTTAGGGCTTAGGTTGTAGGGTTTACTACGGTGTAGGGTGTATAACCCCATACCCTAAACTCTAATTACAGTACATGCTGAGGACCTTCGTAGAGTTGAGGATGCTTGCGGGTAGTGAGGCTATCGGGGTCTGCCCGGGTCATGAATGAGACTGTTTAGCTGAGTGAGTGTATCAATGAATGAAGGAACGAACGATTAAAACTGTATGTTTGAACAGAATAAATGAGTGAACGAATGAACGGAAAATGAACGAATGAATGAACGAACAAACGGAGGAATGAGTGAATGACTGAATGAATGAATGAATGAATGAATGAGTGAATGAATGAGTGAGTGAGTGAGTGAGTGAGTGAACGAACAAATGAATGATTGAATGAATGAAGAATGAATGAACAAATGAATGAACGGAGGAATGAGTAAGTTCAAGAACGAGTGAATGAATGAATAATAAATGACAGCCTGAATGTTCAAACTTCTGAAGGGACGGATGAACCACTGAGTGAATTCTAGGGATCCAAATAGCCCAATGTAGGGGATGTTTACAGACTTTAGGGCCCAGTCTAGGTATTATTTGTATACTTGGATCCCTATACAATCCCCATAAAACACCGGTTTCCATTTCGTTTTCCATTCTCTTTCCATTTGATTATCCATCATTGGTATTACTTGTGTACTTGGATCCCTAGGGGAAAGCCTAAAACGCCCCCTTGAGAACTCAATGAACTCAATGACTTGCCTTTCGCTTAGCTGGGAGAGGTGAATGGAAAAGAACATGGAAACTACTATGGGGTTTAGGGTTTATGGAAAATAGAACGGAAATTACCTTAATGGGTTATGTAGGGGCTACTATAAGGATCCATTCCTTCATTCCTAGCTAACCAATGGTAAGATGAGGGACTTGGCAGAGGCCTTTTCGCAACTGTTTACTGACGCAAGGGTTTGGGCGTATTCAAGGTGCACAAATCCAGGTTCGAGGCTCAGGTCTTTTTTTCTGAGGAATTGTACTATGAGTCCCGCAGAGGGCGAAATTGATGGGAACTAGCTTTTAGTAGGTGCTCCTTCAAATTTCTTAGCTCAAGCAGTGTTATCCCCAACCAAACCTTGTACTTTCACTATTCTGAGCCTGCACATCTTCTTGTGGTTTAGTGTTTGCGCATATGGCAGTTTCCCAAAATGAGGGGAACCCAATATAGACCCCAAAAAAGTATAATCCTTAATATGGGGACCCCCCAAAAATACCCCTAAACCCTAAAGCCTAAACCCCTAATTTTAGGAAACCCCCATATATTGTGTTCATTGGGGGTCTCGAATTTGATTGCCAGGATCCAGCTGGGTGCTTTTGAGCTACATAAACCTAGGGTTTAGGGTTTAGAGGTTTAGGGTTTAGGGTTTAGGGGTTTAGGGTT